AAAATTTCACGGGCCAACGGGTTAACCGCGGCCTGTGAAGGTGCAACCCGCGAAACCCGTGGGTCACACCACCTTGACCCGTGAACTGCCCGCTTGGGTCACGGGTCGGCCTGCGGTCCCGGGTCATTTCGGGTCAGTTTTTACGGATCTGACCGGTCCGTTCGTCTTGACACCTTTAAATATTCATGACTAACTCTTGGATATAATTTAAAACATTATATGTTTCATTAGTTCCACTCAGGATCTCAATCATTTCAATATTTTTAGTAGTTTGCTCCATTAGTAGAACAATACAGAAAGCCATTACTTGATACAGTTATGAAATGCTTAGCCGATAAATTTCTGGTCATGTTCGAAAGTATTTATGAAATTCCAATAAATCTATTAAGTATGACTTGTCTAGTTGAAACTGCGAAAATAGTTTTTCTTTTGCATTTCGAAAATTTGAAAATTTTATAATTAACTAATTGTAAGAATAATTTAGTAAATATAGTTTTTTATAATTTTAGATGTTTGGTATATATTATTTTAATAATTAAATAATTTTTAGAATGGTAAAAAATTTAATTAATATTAAAAATAAGAAAACATTTTCTAATCCTATGCCTCGCTTAAGCTTTTAAAACTTTAAGTTTGGTAGTGGTTCTTCCGTTTCAAGTTGGTATGTGTAAAAATTTACTCCACACCAATTATGAAGTATAATTGAATCCAAGGGTTTACATCATATAGGATCTTGTGATGATTTTCCAGAAATTTTGAAGCCACATTAGAACATATATCTAATAACAAGGGGTGACATTTGGTAATGATTTTAGGCCATCAGTGTCTTTCTTGGTCTACTAGAATCAAGGTAGCTGTTGATACTGCTAGAGGCCTTTCTTTCTTGCACGATGCTAAAAACAATGTGATACATCGAAATTTGAAGTCTGCTCACATTCTTTTGGATGAGGTTTGTTCCTTGGATAACTTTTTTTGTCTTGGTTTCACCTAAGGTAGTTGTCTGCATAGAAAAATTAATGTCTTGTTACATTATGGGGCAGCATTTTAATGCCATGTTATCCGGCTTCGATCTCGCTACAGATGGGCCACCTGATCATAAGACTCATGTGTCCACTCGAGTTATTGGTACACATGGCTATGTTGCACCGGAATACTTAGCTACAGGTTTGGCACGACAAAATACCATTTCTCTACTCCTTTTGCACTTCAAAATCATATTATCATAATGTAGCCATATTAAACTGCTTGCTGATGAACAGGTCATTTGGCGGAAAACTGTGATGTATACGGCTTTGGAGTTGTTTTGCTAGAATTACTATCTGGCCGTAGGGCTTCTGCAATAACTACTGCTAAAGATTATCTCCTTCCGGATAGGATAAAATTATATTTTTCTAAGAAGGAAGAAGTGAATCGAGTGGTAGACCCCAAATTGAAAGGCCAGTACCCTCTGGAAGAACCAGTTATTGTTTCAAATCTTGCTTTGCAGTGCGTAAGTGATAATCCCAGAAGTATGCCGCGTATGGCAGAGGTTTTAGCCACATTGGAATGACTCCAAGGTTCATATGAAATCAAAAAATAAAGATTATTCCATATCTGCTTTGTCTATCAGTAACAAAAAACCATCAACCAAATCTGAATATGACACCTTTGGAGTGTCTGTAATTATTGCATGAAAAGTGTTTATGGTGTAAGATTAGTAAGTTGATTTAGTTATTGGCAAAATCTTCTCCTTATCATTTCTATCCCCTTATGCTTCAATTTTTTGTTGTTTGTATGTTATATACTAAGATGCACCGACACTGACACGTGTGTCCGACACGATACGTGTCGGATACGCCGACATACAATTTTTTTTAAAAAAATTACAGACAAAAATTTATTTTTACACTTGTTATTGATTTTTCTTGTTGA